GCAAGCTTGGCTCTTGCGACATAGCTATGTGAAGATCAGGAGGAAATTATGACAGCAGGAAAGAGACACGGGAATCTTTAAAATGTTGCTGACATCTAGCGGCAGCACCAGAGCAAAGCACGTTTTCGTTGGCCACACGAATTAACTTGTTTCGAGGGCACCGTGCATGAGCGGAATCACGTAGGGCAGGGTAATGCCAAAAGTAATGCAATCCAGAACAAGCAAGCAAACGAAAAAGAGGTGATAATCTGATTCCCAGCTCTTTGGTCCCTTCTTTTTTTCATCTAAACACTTTATATCTTCAGGAGTTCTTCTAAAAAAATTACATTTCTTTAGGAAGGCATGAAAGGTGGCGCTTAAAAAAGAACCCCGCAGAATCACCATCACGATGGCTGGCCTTGAGTTAGTGACATAGGCTGCAGATTATTCGGAGCTGGCCAAGCCACGTTGCAATGGGATGCAATTTATAACGAAGCAAAAAATATGAAATGTAGCCTCCGAAGTCGTTTTTGAACCTAAAATGCCAAATGACAGCTATTGGTTTATTATAAATTTTATTTATTGTACTCTCCTTTTGGTTCACATGATGATTAACTGCAGGCCTTAAAATAATCAGAAACAGGGATCAAATTAAGGCAAGCCCACATTAAAGCTCGCATAGTTTGGTTTTGGCTTAGCGTGTTGTCTGACTCCAACCGTTGGGTTTGTTAAGCCGTAGTTTACATAGTTTCAGTTGTAAACATAGCTATACACTTTTAAGCAATGCTGCTTTATCAAACAAACTGCAGTTGAACTGTAGCCTAGAATCATTTCCAATCACATGGAAAGAGGAGAATATTTTTTAGGAAAATCTGTCTCCTGCCGTAATTAATTCTTTGGAGTATTAATTTTAATTCTTCTCTGAGCACAACCATTCCTCTAAACAGCAGTACGAAACAACCTTTGCAGCAGAAACTCCCAAAGTGATACATTAAGTTTGAAGATTCCTAAAATTAGAATAGAAGTTGGAAGGGACCTTAGAGGTCTTCTAGCCCAGCCCCTTGCTCAAGCAGAACCTATGCCATTTCAGACAAGTGACTGTCCAGTCTCTTCTTAAAAACCTCCAGTGATGGAGCGCCCACGATTTCTGGAGGCAGGCTGTTCCACTGGTTAATTATCCTCACTGTTAGGAAGTTTCTCCTTAATTCCAGGTTGCTTCTCTCTTTGGTCAGTTTCCAACCATTGTTTCTTGTCCTGCCCTCTGGTGCTTTGGAGACTAGTTTGACCCCCTCTTCTTTGTGGCAGTCCCTCAAATACTGGAACACTGCTATCTCCGAAGCCTTTTCCCCTTGAAAAAAGTGACTTAGGTCTGTTTCTCACACTTACAACCACTGCACCATCCCCATGGGCATTTGATCAAAATTTGGATGCTTGGTAACCAGTTCATATGTACGACTGTTGCAGTGTCCCAGAATCGTAGTGATCCCCTTTTACAAACCGTCTGATGAGAAAAGCCAACGGGGGAAGCCAGATTCATTTAACAATTGTGTTACTAACTTAACAACTGCAGTGATTCACTTAACAAGCCTGGCAAGGAAGGTCGTAAAATGGGGCAAAACACACTTAACTGTCTCGCTTAGCACCAGAAACGTTGGGCTCAATTGAGGACGTAAATTGAGGACTATCTGTATTGTAGAAAATGTGTGCGTTATGAGTTAAACGCCTTTTGAAAAAAGCTGCTTTGTCATTCCAAATATCCACAGCTACTTTGTTGCTTTAGTAATCCAGGATCAAATTTAATGAGTTCCTTCCCATTTGTTTTTACAAGTATCTGATGGCATGTACTAACAAGACATTAACTGTTCCATTTTTTTTCTTTAAAAAAAAAAAAAGCACGTATGCTTACAACAGAAGACAAAAAAATATAAACTTTTTCTACTTACAATAATTCTATACATAGCATAAGAACCAAATCACCAATTTTTGTCACACGATAAGAAATGTTTTGTGTCGTCGGGTAACATAACAGGAAAACCCTTTATAAAATTCTGTTTTCATTTCTGGTTTTTTTTTAAATTAACCATTCATTAAAACTAGCTATGCAGGCAGCCTGGGATACATGACTAAGGCACCAACAGTACAAAGCGATATAAAAGCGCAACGTTATTTCCTTAGGAGTGCGTTATACACTTGACACGCCACGAGAAAAGGCAAAAAAGAGTCAACCGACTTGTCGCAACCTTTGCGTGTTCTCAGAGGGTACCGTTTCTTCCAGTTTTTGTCCAAACTTGACATGATGATGGGTCTTCTTCAAGGCTTCAGTAATTCAATCCCAACTTCCCTAACCTGGGTGCTCTTCAGATTCTTGGCAACAACCTAGCTGGGTGGAGAATTTCGGGAGACGACAAACCAAACAGCTGGGGACAACTCCCGTAACGTTTTGTAATTCTCGGGAAAAAATGCTTCCTTAAAATCTAAAGCCGAACGTCCTTTGAGGCGTAAACGTGAACCTTTGATGCTAAACTTGCTGTTGAACTGAGAATTGCCTCAAAACATGGTTGGCTGGAAGTATTATCTTAGGTCTGCCCCACCTCAGCTCATTTCAAGTAAGGTTTCATCTGCAGGAACCAATTTAGCCTTAAGACATTGAAAATATCCCTGTGATTCCTTGCAGTGATCCGAGTATGCTATAGCAAAGTGCCTGATGTAGGGATGTGCTATAGCTTGCTGGCAATATACAAGGTGTGCATATATCTCGAAGTTCCTACAGTTAGGCTCTAGAATTAGCAGGGGATGAGAAGGATTTTTGCAAAAACATTTGGGGGAATATCCCGCCACTTGTTTTACATACTGCTTTCCATTACTAAAGCACAATCAATCATAACCAGTTACGGCAACGTTCTCAAACTTGGGAACTTTTAAGATTCGTGGACTTCAACTCCCACAATTGCTTGACTGGGGAATTCTGGGAGTTGAAATCCACAGGTCTTAAAATTGCCAGGTTTGGAGACCCCTGAATTAAGGTACACCCAGCCATATTCCTGACACTGCGGTACAACAAGAACTCCTAAAAGGGCTAACATAGTTGGCAAGGAACTCTGGGAATTGTGGACTCGAATCTCTTGGGGGGTTACTTTTAAAAGTAGGTTGTCTGGATTGCTTATATATCATGTGGCTGGTGGAATTCCATGAAGGATCTGCCTCAAAGGGTCTTCCATTTTGCCGAATTGATCTGCACAGTCTCAAACATGTTATCCAAAGTATTTTGTAAATGGCAGCAGAGGTTCATTCAATTCATATTAGGTCCAATATATCCCTATATTCCTATTTCCATATATCAAAAGCTTTTTGAACAGTCATGAAGATGATTGCATATTCTTTATTGATAATGTAATTTCCAGTAAATATGGCATAAGAAACAATGTATTACAACTGTACCGATAGAAGCATTTCTTTAAAAAAGACATTCTATTCTGTCAAAAGATCTGCTTTTAATGAACAGTTAGTGGCCAGAAATCAATTGACAGAAAGAACATCTCCAAGCAGGTTTTAGTATGTTTTGTCTGTAGCTTCCTTTGCCCAATTGTAAACTGCAGGTGAAGAGGATAGTACAAAACATAATAAACAAAGTCAATAAAACTTTCAGTTCTTGTAACAAAAACTGCTGAGTTGTTTCACTTTAGAGACTTGTTGTAACAGTCTAAAATCACCAAATTAATGTTGCAATAAGGATGTGAGTTGAGCCCCAAGAACAGCTCCACAACTGCTGTCGTTATGGTAAACCGTTTAAAAAAAAATAAAAACAGATCTAGGACAGGTCTGAACAGCCATAGGAAGTTGCAGAGAACCTGGGACCAGTGAAACCTTTTGCAACAATATTCTCAATATATGCTTTTTGCAGATTCCATGAGAGTTAACAGAAAGCAACTTTCAAGAGACACACATTTATTAAGTTTGGTTTAGCAGGTTGATTGCTTATGCATGAATGTAAAATGCTGTCATCTGTAAACACGTAATATAAACTTTGATATACACCTTATGCAACTTTGGATGCACCTAAAGTGACCAAAACTGTAATTCTAATTTCCTAACCAACAGTCTCACTGAGCTCAATGGAAATTTGGACCAGAGAAATGAATTATTTAACTGTGAATCAAGCTGAGAACCATAATGCCACATTACTTAAGAGAAAAAAAAATATTATTCATTTCAGCATATATACACAATGACTGGCCCGCCAAGAATCTACCCCAAAGACTTTCTTCACCCTTGCAGGAAGTAAAATTAAATGCAAGTCATCCCAAGACTAAAATAGCAAGACTCCCATCAAAACGTTCTTCAGAGGCAAACAAAATTATTTGAAAAAGTAAAGGTAAATATACAAAACAAAGTTTTAAATTTTTGATTCGTAACAAGGGCACTGCTGCCAAAAACACAACAGAGCAAAAAAGATGGAACAGCTAAAAACACGCTTATTCTCCCCAATGAAACGTTCTCTTTGCTGGGGAGAATTTCATTGAGCACAATTAGAGGTAACTTTTTTTTTGTTTGTTTGTTTCAGCTCCAGCTATGTGGCACTTAAGACAATCATCTGTGCACAGAAAGCTTTTAACAGTCATGCGAGGACACAGTCATCATTTTAAAACAAGGTTAACGTTTCTCACCACAGCAGTGGGGAAAAAAGTTGTCAATGAGGCACCGCACTGGAACATAACATCTAGTAAACTCCACACTGTACAGTTTCAGAAACAAATACTTGAAGAGCTCTCATTTTTAAAAAAAAAAAAGCAGAGTATTGATGAAACAAGTGGCAGGTTCATTTCATGGGCCCGGGTCAGCGTTCCCAAGTACGCAACTTAAATCAGCTGACTGAACAAGAGCTCCAGAGCTATAAATTCTGGGAAAAGGGGGAACGTTACAGGAAATAAACGCGAAATGCTAACATGCTACAGAAATAGGTTGTTCTCACTTTCTTATTTTAAAGATGCAGTGTTCCTTTTTTTTCTTTTTCCAGAGCCCACCACATGCATTTAAAAGAAAGGTACCGAGTGAGGATTCTTCGTTATTTGGGTGGAGTTTAACAGGATCCACAAATGTTTCTCTGCTAATACATATTACCCCCTGGATGCATTTCCAGGAAAGGAACCCATCAAATACCAGATTTCGTTCTAAGCTATTTTTGCCGTGTTGAAACCAATTGAAGTTCGAAGTCGGCAGAGATTTACGTCCAGCTGAAATCAACGAGACTGGCTTCTAGGTAAGCAGATGCATCTGGTAAAGGTGGCATTAGAAATCAGGTGTACCATTCAAAGTTAAGATTGCACAAGTACCATGACCTCTTAAAGTGGGGGAAAGAAGGGGCGTGGGTTTTTTTTTTCTCTCCTGCATCGTTTGCCGAAACGTCTCAGCGTTGAAGTGACCTGCCTTAATTTTTCCCTCAGGGTAGGGTAGGGGTGGGAGAGTTAAAAGTATAAATACAGTGTATGCTTGGATCTGTCCTCTCGTACTGTGCATGCCAGTCAACATGGCAAGCTTAAAGAAGTGCAAAAAGTTGTGGCGAATGCCCTCGACTTAAAGTGCCCTCAATGTTCCTTAATTATTATTTTTTTCTCTACTCTCAAAACGCCGTTACAAAAATCTAGAAAACGAAAAGGATTATAAATGTATAAAATCGTCTGCCCTCCTAAAGATCAGAGACCAACAACACTGCATCTTTCAAACCAGAAAGGGACGTGGTGTAAGCCTACGGTTGTCATCTAGGGGTGGTGTGTGTTGATAAGAGAAAGACAGTACCTGCAAAAGACCGGCAGGGTAGGTTTTACACGCAGGAGTATCGGTAACGATTCTTCAGGCATAAATAATCGTTTGAAGACATATAGAAAGCCAGGACTACCATAGAAATGGTCTCCCTGAATGGCTTGAAATGTTAGTGGATAAACTGAAGGAGGCCACGTCATATGACCATAGAGAAAGAACCAGGAAGAGAACGTCTACGGAGAGTGTACCCAGCCCTTGAATTCCTTTATCCTACGGGGGGAAAAAACAAAAACAAAGGGGGAACGTTTTAGTGGAAAATGGAGCATACACGGACAGAGTACAGAGAGATCACGCCGTACAGGTAATCCTCGACTTACGACCTCAACATTTCTGTTGCTAAGCGAAGACATTTCTCCAGTTGACTTTGGCCCCATTTTGCCATTTTTCTTGCCACATTTTGTTAAGGGAATCCCTGCAGTTGTTAAGTTAGTGACCATGGGGATACTGCACGGGTTGTAAGTCAGTTTTTGTAGCGCCACTGTTAACTTCGGACGGTCACTAAACAAATGGTTTTAAGTCGACGACTATCTATACAATGTATCTGAGACTAAAAATAGCACAGGGTTATCTGCAGAAGCTGACCAGAATATACCTCTAGCAGCGAACCTTATATATTTATTAAATTTGTACGCTGCCATCTCGCTGTTGGGAGATTCTGGGCAGCTTATTAACTTATGCATAAAAAGTGACAATACATTTGGGGAGGTTTACCTTGGCTTCTGAAGGCGGACCCACAAAGCAATTTTATTTATTTATTTAAAGCAAAAAGTTTGATATTTCAGCTTTTGGTATGAAGAATACAGAATACTAGAGGTGCTGTTTTCTGGGTGTATGTATTGAGTACTGGACAAAACACAGCAAATTATCTTTGCTTTATTAAGGAAGACTACATTACACTGTGTGAGAAGGGGGGGGAAATCAGTAGGCATTTTAGGAAAAATAACTGAAGTCAGTTACTTTTGTTTTTCTGAATCCTTTCAGATATTTTATGTGAATTTTGGAATAGCCACATGGGGCTATTCCACGTGTTCCTGAGTAATTTTTCAAAACCTGCTTAGAAAGGCTTAATGATTGACAAGTCTTAACTGTGATAATATCTAATAATTTAGTAGTTATCAAATGATTACGTTAAATACAAAAGAAGCGTCCATTTTACATAGTTAGATTGAAACACGAGATGTACCCTTATGCCGTTTAGGATCTGTATCCTGGTTGGAATCTGGCAGTTTCCTCAAAAATTAGTTCTTTCAGTTTTTCCTTCGGCAAGTCGTCCAGCTCCATATCAAATTTGAAAGGCGCTTCAGCTACAGGCTTTAAAAAAATAAATAAAGAACAGCCCGTTAGAAATAGGAATGATATTGAAGCACAAAAGGAATAGGTAAAATTGGGAAGTTGTTGACTTTTTGAATGTTGTAAAGCTGCTCAGAAGACTTTATGGTCAACATTAGAATATGAATCTTAGTAAATAATGCATGATGAAATTACCTGCACTGATAGTCACGTCTACCAAAATACAGTTACGGAATTTTTACTTGGTTACATTTATTAAGGTATGGTTTGGAGAGCTGGCAAGATAAGATTTTCTCACATATTTATTGATATATGCCAAGGAAAAAAATTAGTATAACTACCATATTAATGTGGCAGAAGAGTTATTTTTGACCTAAAGTGTGGTTCTGCTCTTACAGACATTTATCTTGAAAGCAAACAAATCTTACAGCGTCAGACATTATAACTCTCATTAAATGGCTAAACTTTTAAGTCCTCAACTTACAACCGCAATCAGGATCAGAATTTCCATTGCTAAGGCAGTTGTTATATGGGTCACACATGATTTTACAGCCTTTTGTGCCATGAATCACTGCAGTTGTTAAGTCAGTCACGAGGTCGTTAAAGAAATTTGACTTTGCTTGCCGCCTGGGAAGGCCGCAAACGGAGATCCTGTGACCCCAGGACGCTGTAACCTTCATAAAGGCCAAGCACCCGTCAGGTGACAATCATAAGCGCAAGGACCAGTCGTAACTTTTTTTTTTAGTACGGTTATAACTTCGAGCAGTGACTAAACAAATGCTTGTAAGTTGACCCAAAGGTGCTTTTTCACGAGGCAGCTGGATTTTTTTCCCTTGAAAATGTTTTGCTTCTCCTCCAAGAAGTTTCTTTAGTTCTGACTGAAGGGTGGAGGATGGAAGGATTACTATTCCTTTGCAGTCATCTGGTCGTTAGCACTCTCTCTGAGAGTCCTCAAGGCCACTTGGAGGTTTATCTGTGCCCTCAGGGTCACCTGAACCAGGGTGCAAATGACTGCAAGGAATATAAAAAGCACCTGGAGGAACGTTGTCCATGGGGTCGCGATGGGTCGGACACGACTTCGCAACGAACAAACATACTGTCAAACAGCCATACCATAGCGTCCCTACCTCATCGCTGGGATCATAATATTGTTCTAGGTAGGGGTGAGCCAAAGCTTCTTCCACTTCGATTCTCTTGTGAGGGTTGAAAGTCAACATTTTATCCAACAGATCAAGAGCTAGAGAGACAATTTTTAGAATTAGTTGGGCTTGCGTCCTACTCATCCCGGTGTCCACCCCATATAGAGTGTTGAGTGATGTTTAATTCCCCACCCCGGGATGCAAAAACAATTTCACATAACCACCACAAAAGGTGGGTGCTACTCCGAGCAGGACTTCACCTACAATAAAAAACATTTACTAAGAAGAAAATAGGAAATGTTTGGATGTTTTTAGAACTATGGACCGGCATGAGAATTCTGTCAGCTGCTTTTAATTCTGCTTGACAGGATAACTAATAACATTTTTTTTCTGCTGCTTTTTCCTATTTCCCTAATTTATATCAAGGAATGCCTCTCTCCCTCCACCCTATCAGCAGCATAAAAAAAAAAATCTCATTCTTTTAAATTACCTTTGGGATCAGCATTTGGAAATAATCTGTTCCAGGGAACCTTATTTTTATAGGGTAGAGAAAGCAAATAATTTCTCGCTTTCGCGTTGATTATACAGTTCAAGTCTTCCTGGGAAGGAGACCCAAGAATTCCTACAACATGAAGTGGGGGAAAAAAAGGAAGAAAAATTAGTGCAAAAATAAAGTAGATCTGTCTGGCGAATACAGGCAACTTAAATTTGCTGTGGTTTGCTCAAGTTTCTAGTTTCAACAAGTAAACAAAGAAAAAGGAAGAAACATCCATTAGGCATGTTAAAAGTCTTTTGCCTGTATTATTTATATGTAAAAAGGAAAAAAAATATTACCAAGAATGTGGTTCAGCTGATCAAGGTAGTGTTTTCCTGGGAAGATGGGTCTGTTTGATAGCATCTCTGCCAGAATACAGCCTACAGACCAAATATCAATAGATTTGGTATAACCCTAGAGATAAAATGGAAGAAAAACATTTGCTGTAATGTATATTTTATAGTTCTGGAGTTCTAAAATACGATCGTTTTCTAGCACACGTCACTACTTCTACCATTTGAGAATGTTTTAGTCTCTACACTTAGGATTTCTTGAAGCATTACAATTGCATTATAAAAAAATAAGACTCCATAAACTACTATACCTAAAGTTCAATTCCTTGGAATCAGGGGGAAGGTATTTAATAACAACCTCAAATGGAAAATATACATGTTACCCAAGCTATGAGACTACACAGGAAAAAAACAGAACAATATTCTAGAAAACAAATACTGCTTATAAAACAGGAAGAACCATTTTTATGGTCAGCAAAGTTAAAGTAATATTTTATATATACTAGGCTCGTTCAGTTATATAGGACTAAAATGATTTCCAGGAGGAATAAAAGCAACACTGATTGACTGAATTAGATCAAGTGACTCTGCTATAATATTAAACACAAAACATTTCAACTCTCACCTTAGAATTCAACATAATTTCAGGAGCTCTGTACCAACGCGTAGCTACGTATTCCGTTAGGAAGCCAGTGTGGTCGTGATCTGGATCTGCCACACGAGCCAAACCAAAGTCACATGTCTATTATGGGATAGAAAAAAGGGTTTGTTTTTTTTAGAAAGAGTAGAGTTTTTGTTTTGTTTTTTTGCTTTCAAGACAGCAAAATTCTTTTTTAAAAAGGTATGGTAAACTTTAGAGGGATATATTCCACAAGGGGAAAAGGCTTCAGAGATAGCAGTACTCCAATATACTGCTAGAGGGGGTCAACCTACTTTCCAAAAACCCAGAAAGCAAGACAAGAAACAATGGATGGAAACTAACCAAGCAGAGAAGCCACCTAGAACTAAGGATAAACTTCCTGACAGTGAGAACAATTAACCAGTGGAACAGCTTGCCTCCAGAAGCGGTGAATGCTCCAACACTGGAAGTTTTTAAGAAGAGATTGGACAACCATTTGTCTGAAATGGTATAGGGTCTCCTGCTTGAGCAGGGGGTTGGACTAGGACCTCCAAGCCTCCCCCCTTTCAACTCTGTGATTTTGTAATCACTTGAGCTATCTCCAAAAAGCTAAATACAAACCTTGAGATCACAAGTAGTGTTTAGCAACAAGTTGGACGGTTTGAGGTCCCTGTGCAATACATTGGCTGAATGGATGTATTTCAGTCCTCTCAGAATTTGATAAAGGAAGTAACAAATGTGATCATTGCTGAGATGTTGAGTCTTTAAGAGTTTGTAAAGATCCGTTTCCATGAGATCTTGCACAATGTAGCTGAAAGCTGAATTAAGGCAATAAAACTAACAAATGTTTTATATCGGATATGTAATTTGGCGGCGCTTCCAAGATGTTTAAAATTGTACTTCTGTATTACAGTACAGAAACAATTACAACATTTCTGTGTTGTTTATGAACAGAGAGATATGTGCACTGCCCATGCACATAATAATAACCAGAATAATTAAATTTTACTTTAATGCAAAGAAGAAAAGATGACGACAAGGAGAACAGAAGAACGTAGGGTTTTTAAAGGATACACATCTTTCATTTGATCAATAGTTGGAGCCCGAATGATGTCATTGATTCCGATAATATTTTCATGCTTGAAACGCAACAGGATTTTGATCTCTCTCAGGGTTCTTTGACAGTAAGTCTGGTGTTCGAAAGGGCTGATTTTCTTTATCGCCACCCGAACTCTGTTCAAATTATCATAGGCTGAACTGGAAGGGGGGGGAAAAAAGGTGATAAAATAAACTCGGCAATCGGTAAAACAAGAGACATCCTTAAATAATTTAGCAGAATCTCCACCTTGTCTTCCGACCACCTTTGGGTTAACTTTCGACATTAAAAGCTTCCTTTGATGCTGATGACCACAAAGCTACCGAGCACCCCTGTTTCCCCTTTAAATCTTTTCCCATATTGATTATTGAGTTCCTTCTCGTGTTGCTTCCTTCTCAGCAATATAGTAGATAGAAACTGTTGGTCCCAAAAGAAATGTTGTTTAAAATTAAAAAAAGGCTCCAGTTTTATAGACACTGAGGCTGCAAAGAGCAAGCTGTCCACCCATTTCTTTTCCTAAGGTCTTGCCTAATTTCAGAGACAGTTTGTAGCGTCTTGTTGAAGGGGTGGGTTGTGGTCTAGGGACTGAGAGGGGACTGGGGGTCCTCCAAATCAGGACACCCATTCCCCATTTTTAGGGCAGAGGGGCTGTTAGGAGGAAGAAGAGCAGACGAATCTGGACCACCCCATCATGTTCAGCACATGTAACTGAATCAAGCACACAGAAACATTCACTTTAACTCCTACTGCAAAGCTTAAGATAATTTAGCTCTGCTGCCAACAGGGTTGCCCAGCTCTGTAAACATACAGCTATTATGGGATACAGTGGTAAAGAGGTAAAAAAGTGCTACAATTTAGCGAAGGATAAAAATAAACAAGTGGGATTTTTCCTGCCGATTTGAATACATTAAATCCCGCCACCCGTTTTTCCTTTCTCGTTGCGCTGTCGACAATGGCACTTTTTTTTTTTTCTGCTCTGGTGGTTTTCCAACACTGCCAAAGACTAATATGTAAGCTTATTCGAATCTTGAAAAGTTAAAGGAATGTGTCCTTAGAAGATGAGCAAGATTATTGCTTGTCGACCCAGTTCTTGCCGTTGCTTGGCGACCACACTTAATTTAGTTTAAATTTCACTCCAGGTTTCAAGCCTAATAATAGATGCTTACCAATTCGGTTTTTCACAGAAAGCCAACTCCTATAGTCTAACAGAGCCATTCCGATAATGTAGAAGACAAAAAGGAATGAAAGCCAAATTTGGCTGAGAGTCTCAGTCTCTGTTCTTCCCACCAGGGTTCATTCAGCAGGAGCTATTCAAACAGGCTAAATGAACTATTTTCTAGATAACCAGGATAACAACTGTAAATCAGATTGCTTTTTCCTCCTGTGTCACACATTACAGATATAAGTCTGCAGCCAGGCACTCTCTTTACAAGGATTTTTGTGAGTTTTCAGACAATCTTTCTGATTACAGAGGTTAAAAATGCTTTAAGTAAACAAAACTTCTGCAAAGTAAAAAAAAAAAAACCACAACCCTTGCAGCCAATTTAACCCTGGAGGAATTCAGGAAGGATTAAGCTTTTATCCTCCACTTTTACTCTTTAGAGAGAAAGAATATTTCCCCATGAAGTTAACCAAATTAAAAGGAAGAGTTTCAGAGAACTGTCTAATAACAGATTTATAAGTGATACAATAATCTGGAAGAGAACAATAAAGGAATAAGAAACCCGTCGTCAAAAGCTAAAGAATGTTAGTAGGGAACAAGAGCTTTAGATGTGTGTGCAAAACAGGTGGATCACATACTGAAGTGAAATAAAAGGCTGACACCTAAGAATAATTCCTTTTTATATTGCTGATGAAGGGGAAGGGGATAATAATAATTAAACTTGCATGTTGCTCAACTCTCATTGACTCTGGGCGGGTCTTAACAATCAAAGAAGTTAATGTTTTATAAACTTCCTCAATCAGATGCTCTCCAGTGTACAGGGACCCGATTCCCAGAATTCCTTGGAAACGCGGCCAAAGGTATTACCTAGATCAAAGATCAGAGTACAATCTGTTTGACTTGTTAGGAGATAAGTTCCTTTTTTTTTTTTTTCCACTGGGCAACAAATCACTGGCTTGGCAGCGTACCTTTGTCAAGGCCACAAGTGATTTTTCAACGTTCAGGATCACAACTTTTTCAGAATCACAGGTAAAGTGGCCATCCTTGCTTCACAATTTACGATTTGCCTATTCACCGAGAGAGAAGGGTTGCAAAACGTAAAGCTCTTTCTAGCATATTCCGAGGATTATTTCAATAGCCTTTTACGAGAGTTAGTCAACGCACCTGTTGAGCGCTCAACTTCAGGAAGACCGCTCTAGGAAGGGGAAGAATTCTACTGGCATGTTTTAATCCTTCATAATAGTAAGAATGGATCCTATATGGCAAGTCAGAATTCTATGTCTATGATGGCTACTTGTGAGAGATGGGTTTGTGCTGCCTTCTAGGCTACTGAAAAGTTTAAAAAGAATGTATTTCCATCACTTTACTTAATAGGAAATAGGACAGCCTGCGAGAGGCACTCGTCACCATCTTTATTCTTAGAGAGAGAGAAAAGAACAAAACAAAAACAAACTCAGAGCATAAACTGAGAGCAGAGGTGGAACAAGTATAGGCTTTAGTAGAAAGAGGACAAAGAAACAACTATTATTAGAGCAAGCGTAGACCAGACCGTGTCTGGAATGTAACAGAGGAAAAAGGAACGTGAATTTACAATGGGCAGCTTCAGTCAAATTTCTTTGAAAGAAAATCAGCAGCTCGGGATTCTCAGCTTTTGCAAACAGAGAGGATGAGCAGTAATTATGCATTTCCTGAGTCCAGAGCTAAAGAAAGGGATGAGTTAAAGACAGAAGTCTTGATACTATTGTATTATTTCAGTGGTCACACTCAGAAATAAGCATTAATGTTTCAAAATCTGACTGATTATTTTCAAGGCTGCATGCTTCCACTTCACTCTTTCCTGCAGGTAGGAAGTACACAAGAATTCATCATAATAAAAGAGCTGGAATTACCTGCCAATTCCTTCCTTAAATGAAGTAGGTAGCTGCCAACTTCGCATTCTAGCTACACATTATATCTTGTTGGTCGAGGGATAGGGTGAGATTCGTGTTCAGATGCAACATTAAGCTTTTTCAGTCCTAAAACATTCAGCGTTACCTACTTGACCCAAAAAAAAAACAACCAAAAAAAACCCCACCCCAAGATGAGCTTGAAAAATCAAGTAGAGAACGCTGGCATGCTTGTTTGCGAATGTTAGGCCAGGATTCTGAAGAATTATGGCTTGGTATTTTCTGCAAGAGGACCCAGAGACGGCAGTTTCCTATGTTCCTAAGTTACAAGCCCCGAAGCGTGGGCAGAAGTGACAGGAGAAATAACATATTAAAGATGACTGCAGAATCAGTACACCGCACCTTGAAAAAAACAGACATCCAAGGAAGGACAAAATGAAATGGTGACGAAGCTACAAAAAAAGGGCTACAAGAAGCCAGAATAGAAGGGATTCATGAAAAGTCATTAGGGTTGAATATCAGAATATGGTTCGCCAAAGTATGTATGTATGTATATAAAAATCAGTGCCACAGAAAACTGGAGGCAGATGGTTCAAAAAGATTAACACGAATGCTGAATTGCCCAGGAATGGAAAGAAAGTCAGAGAGAGAGAGAGAAAAGGAATAAGCCACAGCATGGAAGTTGAAAGGAGGAGAACAAGTAAATGGCAACGTGCCACAACTATGCAGAGATACAGAAGAGAAAAAAAATACAGATTAAAGCTTCAGCAGTTGGAAAAGATAACAATCCAAGGCTGAGCCTGGCAGATTTTGCCAGAGAACTCTGCTATCAGACAGATAAGGTTGTAAAAACTGCCAAAAGTGAAAGGAACAATAATCAAAGGCTGCATTTCTTCCTATTAAGCCATGATTTGTTTAACCACGACTTATTAAACCACGAGTGATTGGGTTTGCTTAACAGGCTAAGAAAGAAAGAAAAAAAACATTCTGGCTTTGCAATGTTAGATGAATCCAGCCACGGTAACAGAATGAAACGGTGTGTTGAAGAAAGAAATTAAAGAAACCCAGAGGATAAATTTGGTATCCAAACAAGCAGTGTTTTCCAGCTTTAGTGAAATCTTTTTAGCCTGCCTGACTAGCATGATCATTTGACATTGAAGCGGACATACAAACACGGATAGGAATCTGGGTAAGAGGAACCTTTGGTCACTGTGTTTTAGCAACAACGACAACCTCATTAGTGCAAGGCCTCAGATGAGGGTCTAGCAAAGATTCTGAACACTTTTTCATGAAATGGAAGCATTAATAACTTGACTCAGAATCAGGATGTTCATATGCTTATAACCTGCTTAAAAGTATATAAATCGTGGCTGTCTTAACTTCTCACTAATCTGCATACACAGAACTTTTCTTAAATTCCTATCTTAGCATCAGTTAACAGTCACAGCTGGTTGCCACATACCTATACTTCAGATTTTAAACTAAATCTCAGAAACAGTTTTCACAGAAATGAAGCACAAAACCTATAGTACGAAATTTTGTTTGCATAACATAATAGAATCACAGTTCTTTCAACTAACTGATTAATACTGTATTTTCTTCAAAAATTTCTATTACATGATTAAGACAAACCTATCCATGGATTAGTCAAGTAGTCAAACAGCTGTTAAGTATAAAGATATTAGAATTTTAAAAATGAACTACCGTCTAGCTCATTATGCCGGATCGGAAAAAGGCAATTCCCCAGTGGAAGATCTGAGCACTTATGCCAGCTTGCATTGATTAAAAAAAAAAAAAAAAGGCTAAGAGCTGAACAGTCTTTTTCAAGAGGAAAATAATTAACTAAAAAGATCTTAATGTAAAGTATGCTTTGCACACGCTATGAACAGAAGGCTTTCCTGCCTATCCCTCTGAATTGATATTGGTGTGATAGATCTTGCTCCCTGTGAGGGCAAGGCACTTGATTGAGCGGCTAGTCCACACAACACTTCAGACTGGCTAGTCTACACAACGCAAGGAGACCCAAAACAGAGGAACACTGCCGAATGTCAGTTGAAAAGGAGCAGCACCCGCTGCGTTAAGCACAAAGCCTGCACAACACAAGCCTGTAATATCGCTTGCCCCCTTGCTGACTCTAATAACTAGAGAAGGCACAGTTCCTTGCTCTCGGTACCCAATTTTTTAAAATTACATAAGACACAACACGCTATCCATCGAAACCCCTACAAAAATACATTGCCATTTTTCGTATTTGGCCTAGTCTCCTACTGTAAATCAAACAGCATGCAATAAGTTCTCATCCAAGCCCAGCTGAGGATCTCGTTTGATTTCATCAAGCGTAGCCATGGCAAACAACCAAATGGAAATACAGCATGAAGGGGTACCAGCAGAAAAACAATAACACCCCACAAGCAACAATAGACTTAAGAACAGCTGAACTCTCGGCCTTTGCTTCCAGCCCCCCTTAGCTGAGTATGCAGTGAGGGATCAGATGTTCTTCTGGTATCTTTCTGGACTCCCCATAATATAAAATGTATTAAATCAGGGGTCCCCAACCCCCAGTCCATGGACCAGTACCGGGCCACATAAACAAGCAAAGTCCCATCTGCAGGGTGCAGTCAGCAAACAAAACCTCTCTCCACTTAACGGGTCCCTGGTGCCCCAAAGGTTGGGGACCTCTGTATTAAATAATACCTGGTATACATTCAATCTCAGTATGAACACAGGCACACTTATACAGACCCACACTCAGTTTCACGCTTGCAGTGAACTGTATGGTTAATAATTAATATCTGGCATTAAATGTCACTAGATTGTATAGACGGCAACAGTATAAAGTGATTTGCTGAAACTACAGCAGGCAAATAAACTTGGGCGTGTTGGGTGCTTTATTAAGTAATCCGGTAAAGGAGATAATAACTTAGATCATTATAGCTGTTATAATACCAGTAATAGGCATTGTATTTTATTTGTGGCAGCAAAGTCTCATTAAATTTCGGGAAAATATGCATGGGATCAAAATGAGAATTTGAAATATGTGCTTCCCGAGGCAAGACTCATTATTTTAGGTTAGGATTGCCTAAAAACAATGTTTCCCCAAGGAATCTGGCACAATTAAAATAGAAGGCATGTTTTCCCGGTACATAAACAGCATAATGAAATTTCAGATATCGATTCCTTTGGAAAATAATGAGAACTCAGAGAAAAAACAAAAGTGACTGCTTAAAATAAATAAATCACTGACATACATCAACACACACCTATTTTAACTGCCTTGCATTACATTATGAGGCACCCCCAATGCCTCATTGAGGGAGAATAGGCAGAAGAAAATGTGTTGTGGTTTTTTAAACAGACAAGGCTGCAATCTTAAGGATATTTTAAGCAGAAGTTAAGAGGTTTGAACCTAGTTGGTTTCATTCCCAAATAAAAATGCCCAAGATTGCTCTGCAGAATCTCCAAGCTCTTGACTTCATCCCAGACAGGTTTTTAATGCAATCCAGGCACCCAATTGCATTTGCACTTGATGTAAAGCGTTTTAGCCAACAAGAACAGAAATTAGCCTGGTGTGGCAGTGCAAGTGGTGACTTTTGAACAGAGGGACCTTGTTGCACACTCAGCCATGAAAATTCTTGGGGTGACTCAGGGCCAGATGTTCTTTCTTTCTCGGCCCAGCCCACCTCACTGGGTTATTGCAGAGTGGGGAGCTGTGTCTAGGCTGCCTTGTGCTCCTGTGTGAGATGCAGAATGAAACAGAAAACCAGTGCACAGGTGAGCGGGTTGCAATTAAAAAGGCTGCGGCACCCACAAGTCAGTTTGTGCAGATGGGTTACAGCCCCCCAAAGAAGCTTGGATCCTTTGAAGATGGTGTGGACTGCCATTGCCCTTGTCATTTAAAATATGAGAAGGTGGAGCAGCACATCTGCGAGACCCTGGCAGCCTTATGACTCTTATCATCGTCTACCACCAACAAGTTGAGGTCCAATCCATCTGGAAGGCAGCACTCACGGCCTCCAACCTCTCCTCAGCCTGGATCACCATCCCCATTATCCACTGGCAGCATAGGAATGCTCTCTGATCCTTGGGGTAGTGATGGCCCTTGTGGTCCGACGTGTCTGCAAGGCAGCATATGCACAGCCTGCAATCTAGATTGGCATCATCCATCACCAGCGAGGCTGGGACAGCAATGGGAATTGTGATCCAGTCTGTCTGGAAGGTGGAACACAGGGCTTTCCACCCTTCCCCTGCCTGGACCACCATGCCCATCATCCATCACTAGGAGAGAAAGGCTCTTGGGTCCCTGGGTCAGCAATGGGGGCTATGCTCCCACCTGTCTGGAAGGCAATGCACCACCCAGCCTCAGCCTTACAATCCCAGCATCCACTACTAGCAGGAGAAGGCTGGGAAAGCGATGGGAGTTGTGGTCCAATGTGTCTGGAAGGTGGAGCGTAAAGGGCTCCCCACTCATCCTCTGCTGGACCACCATCCCCATCATGCACCGCTAAGACAGAAAGGCTGTCCAGTCCCTGTCTGGAAAGCAACATATTCCCATCATCCACTACCAGGTGGAGAAAGGCTGGGACAACAATGGGAGTTGTGGTCCAACCTGTCTGGACGGTTCCCCATCTCCCCATCTGCACCACCATCCCCATCATCCACCACCAGGACAGAAAGGCTGTCCAGTCTCTGTCTGGAAAGGCTGTCCAGTCTCTGTCTGGAAAGCAACACACCCAACCTTAACCTAGATTCCCATCATCCACTACCAGATGGGGAAAGGCTGGGACAACGATGGGAGTTGTGGTCCAACCTGTCTGGACGGTTCCCCATCTCCCCGTCTGGACCACCATCCCCATCATCCACCACCAGGACAGAAAGGCTCTCCAGTCTCTGGAAAGCAACACAGCCAACCTTAACCTAGATTCCCATCATCCACTACCAAATGGGGAAAGGCTGGGACAACGATGGGACATCTCCCCCGTCTGGACCACCATTCCTATCATCCACTACCAGTTGGGAAAGGCAGCGATGGGAGTAGCGGTCCCACCTGTCTGCAGAGCAAACACCTCCCCCCCCCGCCAGCTTCTCCCCCGCCTGCTGCCGGACCCCCATCCCCATCATCCCCTGCCGGGGCAAGCGAGGGCCCTGCTTACCAGACCATCCCGTAAGCCCCTTCCCCGATATAGGAGAGGTTGGTGTAGCGAGGCCCCACGTCGAAGACCTGCCCGCGCACCATCTCCGGAACCCCGGCAGGGCTCCCACAGCTGCTCGCGGCGGCCCCCGACACCGCCGCCATGTTGTTCTCCTGAGGGGAGGCGAGGCTGAGGGGAGGGGGGGGCACCGACCGGCGGCCGAGCAGAACGAAAGGAGGCGGGAAGTCGCCCTCCGCCTTCCGCGGCTCGCTCCGGCCGGGCGAGGCGAGGCGAAGGAGGAAGGGCTGCCGGAGGAAAGCGACACGGAGACCCCACAAACCGCGGCCGCCGCACAACCCCGCCAGCCGCCCTCTGAGAGAGACGGCTGAGGGAAGCAGGGCGGGGCCTAAGCCCGTGCCGAAAGCGCACGCGCACTCGCCCGAGGGGGTGGGAGAGCGGGCCGGGCCCGCGCTCTGCCATTGGTTCGGCTGCAAGGGAGAGGCGTGGCGCGCGCCCGCCCGCGCGCGAGGGGAGGGGTTTGCGGATTGGCGGGGCGTGTGTGAAGCCTACCTCACCGTCGGGACGGAGGGTGCCGCAGCCCGAGGGGCGTGGCCTGGGAAAAGCAGCGGAGGACGTGGAAGCCAGGGGGCGTGGCCACGGAGGCGGGGTTTTGCAGAAAGAAAAGGTAGGGGGGAGAGAATAATCTGTAAATCACGTGGTTTCCCTTTGATTTCTCCCCCCCCCAGTCCTTGTAATTTTATTTCTTAATTCTTCCTCCGAAATTGCATTGCCCCCCCCCTTGAATGATTTTGCTTTTCTGTAAATGTAGTCCTGCACTGGTGCTGCTATTTTTTCGGCATAAGAATGCATTAATGCATTAATAAATCAATTATTTTTTATATTTAACACGTTAATTTTTTATGTTAAATATATTTTGTTAAACGTATTTTTATTTAACATTTTTTTTTCTTTATTTGTATGGGAGATGGGCAGCATAAAAATTTGTAAGGGAGGTGGGCAACATAAAAAATTAACACTTTAAATATAAAAAATAATTGATTTATTAATGCATCTCCCTTACAAATTCTGGGCCCGCTTACAAGATAAAAAAATTAGTAAAGGCAAGGCTGTAGATCCCCTCCCTCGTTTACAAATTGTAATTAAAGCTGTTTTTCTTTCTTTAAATTTATATCCCTGCCATTCCCGCAGGTCTTAATATACCCAGTGCTTGCTCTTCCAATTTTATCACAACAACCCTGTCAGGTAGCTCAAGCTGGGAGAGGGATGGCTTGATTATGTCCCATAAAATTGTTTTTGACTCCTAGGGACCACATAAATAAGATTTTCTCCATGATGAGCTATCTCCAACCTGGTCCTTCAGCTCTTCCAATGGTGCCCTCATCGTTCTTGTACATGAGTCCATCCATCTTATCCCCGATTGTCCTCTTCTCCTTCTTCCCACAAATGCCCAGTATAATGGACGTCTCAAGAGAGCTGAGTCTTTCTACTGATGGAGTGGTTCATGCCCTCAAGTCAACGTCCGCTCTTAAGCCACCACACCGATTTTCTCCAACCTGGTCTTTCAAGTCTCTTTCAAATCATGTACTCGTCGCCCATTACCACAACTGAGTCCGTTCATCTTGTTCTTGGTCACCCTCTTCTTCCCTTCCATCTCTCTCAGCATTATGGACTTCTCAAGGGGACTTGGTCTTCACACTGGCTGACTGGGTGCCCTCAGGTCAGTGCCAACTCTAAGCAATCACGTGGATGTTCTCCAACCTGTCTTTCGAGGTTTCCAAACAACGTACCCGTCACTACCACAGTGGAGTTCATGCCCCTCGCTGCTGGTCAGAGTGGGAGAGATTGGTCATAAATTTGAACTTATTAAGCAACTGGTCAATGTCCATGGAGATTCTCAAGTCCTCCAGGTCAGGGTTGTCCCAAAGGTGCATATTTTTTTTCAGGAGGCAACTGGACTTTCTTATTTTTCTTTGAAGACGTTTCGCTTCTCATCCAAGAAGCTTCTTCAGCTCTGACTGAATGGTGGGGAGTGGAAGGATTTATACTCCTTGCAGAGAGCTGGTCATCTGCCTTCTTTTAGAGAGTCCTTGAGGCCACCTGGAGGTTCCATACACATTTGGACTACTCAGGACACAGGTAAACCTCCAAGTGGCCTCAAGGACCCTCTAAAAGGATGCAAATGACCAGCTCTCTGCAAGGAGTATAAATCCTTCCCTTCCCCACCATCCAGTCAGCGCGGAAGAAGCTTCTTGGATAAGAAGCAAAACGTCTTCAAAGAAAAACAAGAAAGTCTAGTTACCTCTTGAAAAAGCACCTTTTGGACAACTCCAATTCAAGACATATATGAACCTATTCCAAATCTTATATACTAGGAATCACTATTTCACAGGTTTGTCTTTAAAGTCTCTTTCTATAAAATGTAAAGTAAGGCAGTTTAGGGCGCAAAAAAACCCCCACATTTAGTTCTTCTTGACTTGCTAATTTTGGGGCACTCAGCGCCCCATTTCCAGAGATTTTGACCTAGGATCTGTAACTCCTTTTGCTTCTTCCAGATTCTTCCAGACAGGAGACTCATTGCTCCCCGACTCTTTCATTACACGGCCATCCAAAGCGAGCGATAACACTCCAATCTTTAAAATCTAGACGGATTTAAACGCCCGCAACGGGCCAAACACCTGTTTCTTTATGACAGCTTCACGCGCCGCATGGAAGAACACGGTGAGACCGTTTCTTCTCCCATGTTCTCCGTGTGAAAAAAAAAAACATAAAATAACATAAAATTGCTCAGGAACACCAGCCAAATCGCAGATGACAACGTTGATTTGCAACAAAAATATTTTTTCCTCTCCTCCTTTTACATAATCGGTTTTTCACAAGGAGGGGGAAGAACAGATGGCCGATGACTTTGTGTGTTATTAAAGCACGTGTAAAACCCCGTTAGGTGTGAATGGAGTTCGACGCACGGGCCACGATTAAATGTGGGATGCGGTTAAAATGGTTCCGCCCTTGGGTTACGTTCTGACCCGAATGGCAAGTTTAAGATTTCTGTTTTTTTTAAAAAAAAAAAAGATTTCCCCCATCTTTTCTTGGTTTAAATCTGAATCCTAAAAACTAGCCCCGTTCTAAAAGATGCTCAGAATAGGAATAAATTAGCGGAGGGCAAAAACCCCCATTCCCTGTTAGCACGGATGATGTTACCTACTTGGGTGGTGAAATGTCTGCAAGAAAATAACCAAGGTCTTTTTACAAAACCCACTGCCCAAATTTAACAAAAAGCTTTCGATGCCTGATTTTCCTTGATATTTTACAGTTTATCTGCAAGTCTGGAAGAAACGTCAAAGCAGCATCTTTTCAACTTAACTGAAAAATGCCCCTCTTTCTAGCCATGGTGGTTAAAACTCATGTCACAGTGGGTCTCTACAATGAACCCTAGAAAATAAATCTGAGTAAATATAGGTAATCCTCAACTTACAACAGTTTATTTAGTGTCTTGTCTCTTTGTCTCTTCCTGTCTTCTTTCTCTCTCGATCTCTTCCTCTCATCTGTCTCTTCCTCTTTTCCCTCTCTTCACCTCTTCCTGTCTTCTCTCTCCCTTCTTCATCTCTGCCTTGTCTCTCTCCGTCTCTCCCTCTTCCTTTCTCCATCTCTTCCTCTCCCCTCTTCCTCTTCCTGTCTTGTCTCTCCATCTCTTCCTCTTCCCTCATCTCGTCTTTTCTCTCCATCTCGTCCTCTCTCCCCTCTTCCTGTCTTGTGTCTCTTCGTCTTCTCTCCATCTCTTCCTCTCCTCTTCATCCGTCTTCTTTGTCTCTTCCTGTCTTCTTTCTCTCCATCTCTTCCTCCCTTCTTCATCTCTTCCTGTCTTGTCTCTCTCCATCTCTCCCTCTCTTCCTTTCTCCATCTCTTCCCCTCTCCCCTTTTCATCTCTTCCTGTCTTTTCTCTCTCCGTCTCTTCCTCTTTGTCTCTTCCTGTCTTCTTTCTCTCTCCATCTCTTCCTCTCTCTTCCTCTCTGTCTTGTCTCTTTGTTTCTTCCTGTCTTCTTTCTCTCTCTATCTCTTCCTCTCTCTCTCTCTCTTCCCATCTCTCTCTCCTTTCTCTCTCTCTCACACATACACACAGTTTCAATATGAGCTATTTGCAACATAGCAGCTTCAGGTAATGGAAGAATAAATTACCACTGGTCCTTCCGAGTCAAGAGCAGAGTTACTCACACGTAAATTTGTGTTGCAAATTTAAGTCTGGCCTCCTCAGACTTAAGTGCAAGGATTTTATGCCTTCTCATATGCTTTTACTGGAAAAGGGTTTGTGTGTGTGTGTGTGTGTGATTGTGGCACTGTAAGACAATGGAGCTGAATCTAGCTGCCCAAGGAATCCAGCTGCAGGCAAACAAGCCCAGGGTATTAAACACGTCGTTGTTTCTTTTGTTGGGGTGAAATGTTTTGACAATTTGTCGAGAAGGCAGGCTTGCTGAAGTGACAACCGGAGGAGAGGGAAACTCAACACACAGAAAAACACACACAAACACACACGAGCATGCAGGGCTTAGCCCTGAATTTTAAACCTTGCAGCGGCCTTGGGGGGAAAACACTCTTCAGATTTTGCAGCCTCTGTCTCCATCAACAAAGTGAAGAAAGCTTCAAATGAAATTTGTGGTTCTTTATTAATACTTAGCAACAGGCAGGGGGTCTGACCCCCCACCACTTACACAAAAAGGGATGTGAGGCCCTCTGTAAATACTGAGAAGAAAATATGAACCCACACCTTTTCAAGCAAATGCACTCAATTTCAGCATAAATATTGCAGGATGTATATGAGCCACACTAGAAAAAAAGAGAGAGAAAAAGAGGAAGAGAGAGAGAGAGGAAGATAGATAGAAAGAGGAAGAGATGGAGGAAGGGAGGGAGGGAGGTAGAAGGAAAGGAAGGGAAGGGAAAGGGCCATACATACGTACAATATGACAACAGCTGTATAAAGCATATTATTCAAATCCAAGCTACAGTTAATGCACAAATCTTTTTTTCCTGCAAAATGAAAACTCCTCAAATTAGCTGGCCAAAATTCCAGACCTCACCGTCTCTAAAAAAATCTCGCTCTATTCCAGATTGTTGATACGAGAACCGTCTCTAAAATAAATAAAACAATTGG